TAATCCAATCAATTTTAGGTACTCCTAGTCCAGCTAGCAAGTTATATAAAAGTAGAACATGAAACATCGCTGTAGGAGTTTTAAAAACGTTCGAATTGATATTGATTTGTTCAGTGAATATGTTTCACATCTAAATTTAGCTGCACTACACATTTGAGTTGATATGACTTACTAAACACATGATTTGATTACGTGATTACTTTTGCTTTGTTTCCGAAATGCTTTCGCAATCACATCTTGAATTTAACAGATCTAAAAACTGTATTTTCATCAGCATTCTTCATCATCTATGTATTATAAACTAATCAAAAAATCTCAGGAAAAGAGTTCTTCTAATAGCTAAAGATGAATGATGACAATATATAAATATGTTTATAATGAAGTTGAATATTCCAGATGATATTAACTACTGTGAAATAATGTTATTTGTCATTTCATCCAATATTATAAGTGGATATAACGTTTATTCTCTTTATATTAGATTGTAGATCACCAATGTAGATGATCTATATTGAATGATTGAATACCTACTCGAGTTAGTGAGACTAGCACCGTATTGGCCATTCCACGGCATACGATTAACTGATACGCGTTAGTTGTCCTTGACTTTGACAGAAATCGATGATGTGTTCGATATTCAGTGACCCAACAACCGGATGATCTAGCTAGGACTTGGTGACATTTCACTGGCCTTACAAGACCAATTTCTAAGCTTGTTATCTTTGTCATTTTTCAGATGGCGACTGATTAGTATTAAGTTACTAAATATAAATAATTTATTCACATGACGATTAAGATCAAATCCTAACTACAAATAAGATCTATTGTTATATGGTTGATCATACATAAAATTCAGATCAGTTTTATTAATATTTTACCACACTATTACAATTCAAATTCAAAGAAATGATCATTCATTTAGAATAGTATATTCTTATTATAACTAGTTCACTTTACGTTAGCGTTCGATGATTGAACTTAAATCAAATAACTTTTCTCAATATTTAATGTACTTCAATGTATAAACCACTTTACTTGATTCATTATAGCAATGGTTATAAATAAAAATTTATTGACTAAAATTGTTTATAATAAACTATGAAAATCATTGAAAACACATGACATTTCAATACAAGAAGAACAACAAAAACAACCCCTAATCATTAAATAACAATATGAGTTGATAAGATATTTATCTCATCTTACTGATAAAGTCTGGAGTTCAACCACGTCTGTTGTGAGATAGTAACTCACTGAATACAAAGATGAATGTGTCTCTCAGTTTCGTGGATTACTTGAAGTTAGACATTAACACCGTTGGATGCTGGCTGTCTCAGTGGTCTAGAGGTTAAGCGTTCACGCGCTCGAGACTGATAGGTCCTGAGTTCGAATCTCGCAAGGTGGGATCGTAGGTGCGCACTGCTGAGGAGTCCCACAGTAGGACGAAACGGTTGTCTAGTGCTTCCAGGTTTTCCATGGTGGTCTAGCTTCAAATGACTCATGATCTCAACAATTGAAATGACTGTAATATCCACAAGAACCCCTTCTGATATATAATTTTAAAATACTGAAACATTTGAAATTATATGAGAAAAAGTTTTGCATGTTTCATATTGATAGTAGAACAAAGATTTAGTCTTTTAAAACGATTGGTATATAATAATATAGTTTTAAGTTGACTATATAAAAAAGAAATGAAAAAAACATTCCAGTTTACATGAGTAACTATGTTTTAAAAGTTAGTTACGGATATATTTGAAAGATCATTTTCTACGGTAACTTATGTAACCTACATTTATTTGAATAATAAGAATGTTACGTCCGGTCAGTATAAGGCGAATAACCTCGTTTATTCTTTTATAAATATTGTAACAACACATACAAGTGAACAATAGTGTTTTCATTTCAATATTCATTAGGTTTTATCCTTATATACAGTATTATTTATTTGCATATACTCAAAGTATTAAACCAGTCAAAGGAATTTATGAGTTAATCTTAACAATGAAAAAGGATTATATAGCTAGTCAATAATAAGTAAAAAGTACAAATCGATATTAAGGGGATGGGTATTAGTAAACATATTAAGAATAAACAGTATAATAACATGTATGATTACATTGAAATAGAACGTAAGTTAACCACCCATCTTCTATCTTGACGTAGTGTGCTCGATATTGGATTATTTAAAGTACTACCTTGATCACAATTTACTCCATAGAATTTGATTAGCACTAGGAAGGATATGACATATATGACATTGGTCACTACTCAGTGATCAATCATTTGTAAAAACACCTCATTCCTACAGGATGTCAGTTGCGGATTGAATAACCTGGTGGTAACATCTTTGACATTAAAACTGAGTGATATAGGGTTGAATAGCCAAGGTGCACTAGATGATAAAAATAACCTGTGTCCTGACTTCTTTCACGACTTGTTCTAACCACGTCCTTACAAAGTATGTCAAAGCCCAAAAAAACTTACTACCACAGAAATCTTAAAGATTTACGTAGTAGTAAATACATGAATGATCAGTTTAAGCAGGAAGTTAGTAAAGAAGAAAGGTAAAACAAATATCAGTTGAATTGGTAATTACCTAGGGAAGTGACAAAACAGGCTATATTATCCCCTACTTGAGGAACTATCATTGGTTAGTCAAAAAATGATAGAGAGACTAGCCAGATCAAAAGTCCTCCAAGTTCCTATCAACTAGGCTGAAGATAAACTCCACGTCGTCAAGTCACATATATTACTTTACTTACTTACTTACTTACTTACGCCTGTTACTCCTAATGGAGCATAGGCCGCCGACCAGCATTCTCCAACCCACTCTGTCCTGGGCCATCTTTTTAGTTCCATCCAATCCTTGTTCATTTTTCTCATGTCTATTTCCATTTCCCGGCGTAATGTGTTCTTTGGTCTACCTCTTTTCCTTTGACCTTGAGGGTAATAAATGGTTGCTCTGGTTGTCAGACGAGGTATCGGCCTCGTAACTTCCGAAGGAATTCGGCTTTCATCATGAGTTCTTCTAAATGACGATCTTCTGATTCCCAGGGCAGAGTTTAAAAGGTTCGAATAATGTTTTCTGGTTAGCGTTTTTTAGCGAGTTAGTTTTCTACGGGATGGGGTCGCTAACCCCATGCCCAACCCTCCTCCTTTGTCCGGGCTTGGGACCGGCAGTAGCCCCAGGAGGGACTACAGGCGGATTTAATTTTTATATATTGGTGTATATTGATGAAGATTCTCATGAAGATCAATTTAAAAGTAATATTGTTCGCTCATATATGCTCCTTCAGTTAACATAATAGAAATGTTAAATATTTATTTACCGACGAACAAATGAATACACATATTGATGGTAATTTCTCATTAGAGTTTATGATTATATTAAAGAAGTGTTTATTCCGAACATTTGAAGTCGTTATGGTTAAAAAAACTATAGACCGTGTCATGTATCACTCAATTAAAAATTACAGCAACTTCATGTATTACTTATTAATTAATTCCTCGAAGAATTCTTTAAAAAATCATTTCATTCAATCAGAATTCCATAAAGATTCTCAGAAAATTCTAGGAAGATAAATGACAGGATAATACCTATTGTGTTACTAAATTCATTGTATCTCTAAGAGCCTCTTGAATATCCAGGCTACCAATAAACCTCAAAATTCCCTTGTTTTTTTACACAAACTAACCTTAAAGTAGGGCCTCTTTTATACTTCCCGCCTTCGCTATACTATTAGGTACATAAGTGTGTAAAGAACAAGTAGGCAATTATCAAATCATTACTAGGCATTCAAGTTTCAGATGAACCATATAACATATATTTTTCAGGATGGAATAGCATCAGTGCCAACTGGAATTCATTTACCAGAAAATGTTCAATATAATAATAAACAAACATGTCTTCAAAAATAATAGGCTTCATACAAATTAATGATTATGAATCAAATAAATAACAGAAATCAAGAACCAATGCCAGTTACAAAACCATTGGAAATCTAGAAGTACTGAACGTCCATTTAATCAGAGTTTGGGATCCCTAAGTAGTAAGCATCTACGACCTAGCAACCGGATATCTGACCATGAACCTTTGGTACCTCGGATGAAGGCCTAACCTCTAGTCAACTGAGGTGTCACCCAACGGTATACAAGTCTAACTTCAATGAATTTACTATTAAGTGAAATTATAAGGCAATAAAATAAAATGTTTAAACTGATGCAACAGATTGCTTTGTAGTTCCCTTTAAAAACGGAAATGACAAAATTGAAGCCAAATCCATATTTACATAGTTTATCCTATACATAGATCAATATGTGCTGATTACTTTCCATTAACAGTTATTCTTATGGACTGAACTAGAAATAAACAGACATCGAATTTGGGACAATATTTTGTTTAACGTTATATAACTATGTATGCTTCGTATACGTGCACTATGATTAGAAGGCAGTTTTACCATGGATTATGAAGTCTTTACTTCAAAACCAATCAAGTGACATTTAGACAATTTCGTGTGTTCAAGTCTATTTCTTTTTAAAAATAGTTTGCATCAAGGTCTATCGTCAACTGGCTAACCATTGAGGACCAGAAAGGACTGAAAAGTTACCAACGTCTATTTTTAGACTCTTCAACATTATTGACTAATGACTTTATATTATATTAATCTCAGAACAATCTTTTACAGCTAGCGTAGCATTTTAAGAACATTAGTTTGGAGATTCATAATTCATCTTACTGCTTCAGTAGACTTGAAAATACACTGGATATTGGAAACCGTTGTACTGAGTAAGGACGTCAATCAGTTTGACCGAACTAACTATTTAAACTTCTGTTTCAAATGTATTGTATTCATTAGTAAACACTGACATACTATTGTGATTTGCCATTATTATCAACGAATTTATCTGAAATGAAATTATTCTGAATCTTTTTATTTTACGATTATCAAAATAACGTAATTATGTTATTTTTTAATTCTCTATTTCTATTTTAGTATCGCTCAAACAACTAAATTGAATAATGAGTATGGTTATATATGCGAATGCAGTAAGATACCATATGACTTTATAATAAAAAATGGAATAGCTCCAGGTGTTGGAATAGTTCAAACTGTAGAAGATCATCATGTTGACTTAATTGTTATGGGTAATCGTGGACTAAGTAGACTCAAACGTACACTACTTGGTAGTGTAAGTAGTTATGTAGTACACAATGCGTATGTACCATGTATCATAGTGCCACCAGTTTGAAGAAAAGAACAATCAATATTTATACATATATGAAATATCTATGAAGCTTTTTTTGAAATCATATTTTTTATACACACTGGATTACTCTTCTTTCTTGACATTTATTCATTGTGTAATACGTTATTAGTGTCATTTTAGAAAAGAAACTTGTGTATTCATTATTAGTTGTTTTATTTTATAAGTATCTAAATAATGTTGACTATTGAAACTACATAGAAAAGATGTAAGTTTTTCTTGATCCGAGATCTGACTCTTATTTGATCGTTTCTGATCGTTATTGAAGTATACATGTTGCCATTCCTCGTATATAATCGTCGAACTGAATCGCATTAGAGGATAACGAAATAAAAATAAGTAAAATACGAGAATGGATGTCAAATACGTGTATTTTATGCAGTCGTTGATCAGAAAGTGAAGCAAAACAAAGTGACGCGCGGTAGAGAAGATGAATGAGCCAACTCGAATTAATCAAGCCTTAATCAATATTTATAGTCACACAGAAATGCGTTACAGACATGTGATAAATGGGTTAAAAAGTGTATACATATAAGCTCACATGAAAACAATCAAGGTTGATAAGCGAATAATTAACAAGGCCAGAATGTGACTCAAGAAGGGTGAATAAAATGACCTGTGCAGAAGCTAGAATAAGCTATGTGAGCAAAACAGTAACCTTCACTACATATCCTCCTTGTAGAAAATCGCACACTTATTTGGAAAAAACGTCTGTTTTCGAAAATATCACAGATGAGGCGTGTGGTAGGTAGCGAAAAAATTGTACCATATCTGATAGAGTACAGTTTCATATGAGGAGCGAGTGTATCATACGTGCCATTTATATAAACAAATACAGATGAATATTGTAAAGACGCGGACAAAAATGAAATGTTAGCATGCGATCATGTGTGAGTTAATAAGTGTACAGAAAATTAACATACATTTATGTCATGACTGTCTGAACGATATGAGCGATCCGAAATACCGTGAAAACAGTAATAACTCGTTTATGAGTATGACAGCGGAATTAATCGTGAAAATAAGTATGGTAGAATAAAACAAGAATCGGTCTGTGATGCTGACAGAATATAAGGATAAAGAACAGTGAAATATGAATATGTTCTGAGTAAATAGTGTCAATCAGCCATGAGTAGATTCGAATTTGCACACATGGAGTTTTTGTTTGTAGGATAAGACCAATCAAACCGTGAAATAATAACTGCATTGATAGGGGATATTCATCGCTGTACTGCAATCCATAACAATAATAAGATACAAAGTCAGTGTACGTCGTCACGTTATGACCAGATGCCTCGAGTTATTGTTAAATATGTATTAGTAGAATGACCAGGAAAACATAATGGTTACGGTAGAGACAAGATACGCAGAGGGAGATGCGCTCGACTTCGTGTGTTTCGAAACCGTACTAAGACATGTTAAAAATACCAATACATATGGTTGTTCATGACGGCGAGTGAGACTGAACAAGAGTGTATCCTTGAGAGACTAGTTCTAAACTCTATGTTCTGACATAGTATGACGGGAATAGAATATTCATTACATTATGGGTAAAGAATGATACAGCGTGCAGTTGTACATGTGAACGAATAGATTAGATGAACGTAATCGTTACTAATCGGCTAGTAATGCGACATCGAATACTTGGTTTTGAGTATAGACATTAAAGTAAAGATTATCGATTAAACAAAAAATGGCTCAAGTTTGGTTTAGATTGTCGTTGAAAAAGTAGGAAATGACAATCGCTGAGTAAAAATGAGGTGAATGAACATTAGTTTCATGTCGAGAACATAAGTTCCTACTACCGGAAGTATGACTCCAAACTCATGTCTATGATACATTTGCTAACCGTCGGGGTAGTTGTGACCATGTCGTTATCAGCGTGCAGGAGGTTTGCTCGACTGCTAAGACTGAAAATTCAAGTTCATGCCTGGGTTGCTAGACCGCCAATTTCCTTAGCAGGTTCCAGGTTTTTCGGTGTATGAGCAGCTAGTAAATATGTCGGAAATATATATGACATGCGATAGCCATGTATCCACAAAAATGAACGCTAATAATTAAGCCACTGGTATGATAAATGATCCAGAACGTAATAAAGATGATTGATCGTAGCAAAAGATTTATTAGAATTAAAAGTATCCACAGACATAATACACGATACGAAATGAAAAATGTGTGGTATGATGACGTAAAAATGACCTCAACTAAGTGAATGAGTGTAAAAATAGGGAAAAAATAACGGAAAAAATTGGAACGAACTCACTTAGATCAGGATAAATTTACGTTATAGAATAATAAAAACAGTCCAGTGAATTTCGAGTGTCATAACGTGAATGAAATGTTCGGTGGTTGATATGTTTGCATAAATATCGTAATTTAATGTCAGCACGAAGAAAAATAATAATTCCACGTTGTGATGATGTGATAATGAGACCATGATAATTATTTGAATCATAATGGAACAATCAACCCGATAGATCAGTGAGCAGAAGTGACAAAAAGCCAAAGTATCGATAAGATAATACGATTTGAGCATGTCGATGTTATGCTGCACAGGCTTTACTGAATGAATCTTATTAGAGATTGAGTCGTTTTGGTCTCTCGGTGATTAAGTCAGCCACTTCTTTCCTTTATCGGACCTGTAGAGTTCGAGATATTCACCGTCTGTGTAGATTTTCAGGGTGCGTTTAGTTCGAAGTCAGGCTTGTCACTCTACTGGTGTCGTGACCTCTCTCTGGTTTGATCTTATGGTTAGAAACTGCGTTATTTATCGATTAAGCTGGCTTTGCTGAGTTTGTTTGTCGAAAAAAATGGAGTTCAGAAGGTTTATCATCGACATAGTTTACTGCGTTAGGTTCGGCTTCGGCAGGCTCAACACTCAAGTGGCCCTTAATCTGACCCAAAATGGTTCGTAAGAATGATAGTTACCGAATGATTGCTGTGGAAATATACATCCTGGCTATCCTCGTATATAATCGTCGAATTAACTCACGTTAGTGTATAATGGAATTAAATAAGTAAAATACAAAAATGAATTTTGAATGTGTATATCTCATTACAGCGTTGATCTGAACAGGGAAACTATCGGAGAAACAATGTGTAGTAGAGAAGGCATGTAAGCCAACTTGATTTAATCAAGCGTTAATCAATATTTATAGTTACACAAAAATAAGCTACAGACATATAATGAATAGGATAAGATGTACAAATACATGTACGCTTATATAAAAGCAATCAAGGTTAATAAGTGAATAATTACGAAGATCAAAATGTCAGTCAACAAAGATACATAAACTGACTTGTTCGGTAGCTAGAATAATCTATGTGAGCATAACAATAGTCACTGACACTACAAGACAATCATAACGTATGTTTACTTAAACAATCTTTGTAATTTCTATATTGTCGAAGAATATGTTTGATTTAGTATATAAAAATTGATCCATCTCATATGTTACTTCGATTAGTTTTGCACATTCTTAAATAGTTGCGTGATCATATTATGATATACACGCATATAACTTACACATTTTAGCCTGTTTCTAAAAAAGAAAAAAAATTGGCAATAATCAACATACTTTGATTGTTTTAATAAAACAAAACAAAAAAGTCGAATATTATTTTGCATGATAAATTTGTAAGTTTCCATAGGATCAAAGAAAGAAAAAAGAAAATGTCGACAAATTCAATGAATTTCGGTTGATATCATGAATTGATTGATGTTAGACCACCATTGGAAACCTGGAAGCACTGGACGGCCGTTTCGTCTAAGTATGGGACTCCGTAGCAGTGCGCACCACGATCCCGCTCGCGGGGTCCGAACCCAAGGCCTTAAGTCTCGTGCGCGAACACTCAAACTTTTGGACCATTGAGCTGGCATCTATTGGATGTGCACCGCTGAAGAGTCTCAAAATAGGACGAAACGGCCGTCCAGTGCTCCCAGGTTTCCAACAGTGGTCTAACACCAATCGGTTTATGATCTTAATCAAAAACTTAGTAATTTCCACAGCCCCTATATTGAAAATTCTAGGAAATTTTGATTGACTTAAATTTTCGTGATTTAAAGTTGGTTCGAAATAATTTTTTGAATAAACCAGTAGTAAGTACTATGATTCAATGTAAGATTACATGGACACCGAATCTCTTATTTAATTAAATGAATAGTCAAATTGATGTCATCCCATCAGTATTTTCATGCATCTATGACATGTATAGATAAATGTTTGAATAAAAGCTGATAGAAATAACTTTATTAATGATTTGTTTTAATTGATTGATTGTGTTTGATAACCACTTAATGTAGGTATTTAAGCGCTTTTTTTAAAAAGAACATTTATCATCCATCACAAAGATAATTACTGATAAACTGAAACAAGATCATCGAATTGATTAGTATAACTTTTTTCTCTGCCTTCTCTTTGAGAAAAGCGTTTGAATGTGAAGATTGATGCAGACTAATAATGTTTAGAATATATGCAAAGATGGATAATGGCTAGTAGTGGAATCCCATTTAGGATTCGTCAGCTGGATGTACCTGCATCTTAGAGTTGATTTTCACCCTGGGACTCGAACCCAATACTGTTCGCTTCAAACACCATCGTGTTATCCACTTAGCTTCTGAGTGTTGATTGCCACAGAGTGAACATTAACTCTGAGATGAAATTACATCCAGCTGACGAGTCCCAAATAGGATTCCACTGCTAACCATTATCCATCTTGGCATATAATGCTTGTGAATTAAGGTAATACTCACGGTATGCACATATGTCAATAAAGGACTGATCAATTGTAGTCCTAAATATCAATGGGAAGATTCAAACAAACAATATCAAGTGAATTTAATGTTTAGAATAATTAGATAATTAAAGGATACCTAGTTACAAATTATATATTTGTGCTGAGGGTTCTTTAATTTAGTCAAAAACTATTACACTAAAAGCGTTTTATATAATTATTATGATAACTTTCTTCAAAACAGTGAAAATTTACATTGAGAGTAGTCATTTTCGAATCATGTCAAAAACAAAGTCTGTATTGTAGAAGAGTTTAGTTGATGAATCATAATTTGAATGAGTTATGAGTTCAATGAAATTATATTTTACTGATAATATTTAGCTACTCAGAATATGGTCCTGAGAAAGTGAAA